ATATACCTTATGAGCTGGGGCACCCTCATCCATTCGCACTACATGACCTAGCCACCGTAGTCGCTACAGCTCGATACGTCTGACTATGTCGATGTCCGAGTATAGATGGTATAGCTCGTGGTTCATTCGACGTCGATATTCACCGTTGATACAGATCGGCCCGTAGATCTTTCGGAGAATTTTTCTCTCAAACACTCCAAGCGCTGCCTCATCTGCTTGCGCAGATGCTTCAGATCCATACAACAGCACGGGTAGTATCAGTGTCTTGTAGAGTGTGAGTTTGGTCTGGCGAGATGTGGCCTTGTTTCTGAACTGCTTACATATACCATAGTAGCATCTATTGGCCAACACTATCCTTCTCCGAATCTCAAAACTGATGTCATTTGTTTTGTTTATGGCGGTACCGAGGTAGTTAAAGTCACTGACTACCTCAAAGCTGTAGTTTTCAAGTCCCACAGTTGGTCCTAGTCTACTGGACGTCTTGCGCGTTGATACCATCAGCTTGGTCCTCTCGCCATTTACTGCCAGACCCACTTTGGCAGACTCCTTCCCAATTTGTTCAATGGTGGCTGTTACCGCTCTCAATGTTCGACCAATTATGTCGATGGCTTAGGCTTAGGCGAGCAACACTTTTAATACACAACATACTGTGTATTAAAAGTGAACAAACAACAATCATATTTTTTAAAAATAAAATTAGGAAGGAACTTATGTCGTTCGGATTTAAGTTTGCACATTATTCACCTCGTTACACAAATGCACTCGTCAAATATAACCTTGCTGGATTCGGATTAAGCTTAAACATTGTAATTCAACATACGTACATGACGACAACATACTGTTGAAAAAGTCTTCGAAATTTCAAAAGGTGATTTTTTTCATTCCGACGTATCATCAATGTATACGTATAATAGTTTTTGGAGTTGAAACTTTTTTATGTTTCAAGTCTTTAATTTTATTTTAAGAACTTATTTAATTCCAGTTAGCTCTGTGGTGAATTTGGCCTCCAACAATTACAATTGCCACATTGTCGATAATCGGTGCATTGAATCGTCTTTTATGTTATCCAACCGTTGTGCTATCAGCTTTAATAACAACTCTGATGGCATTCTGAACAATCTAGCTAATTCATTGTGTCTTTTTGACAAACCCTTTTCGATAACTTCTCCTCATTCCATGAAAAATGTTGGGGGCAACTTTTTGTGATGTATTGAGTTTTGAATTTCAGTGTAGTTTATAATTTGTTAATTAGTTAAAATGAAACACACAAATTACCTATTTTGGGAAAACAAGAAAGGCAAAAAAAAAGTTTCCCATTGATTGTTCAAAGAGTCGGTGATCGGTGATCATACATTATCCCCCCACCATGACATAGTATTGACCTCCTTTCCTCAACTCCTTGGCAAGGTTTTCACTGGCCCATATAACATAGACAACCTCCGTTAGATGTCCTCAAGGCCAGTAAATAATCGGCCTTAGCGTCATATTTCTGAGTAGTATCGCCACCAATGTCAATTTGTGTTTAGGTGTTGCCTATTGAATCTACCGGTGCAGCCTGTTGTTAGGAATGTCATGAGAGGGGTCTTCTATTATTGGGTCATCGTGCGGATGATATGGGAGCTCAGTCGTGATGAGAGGTTTTGCCTTTAAGGCTGTCGTATCACTCTTATTAGACTTGTATAATTTTTAACTTGGTAAACCTATGTTCCTCAAGGAGGGAAGACCTTAAGCCAAGCCTTCTTAAGGATAAATATGATATCCTGGATATCACTGAAGCTTGGTTTAATAGGGATCTGAGGGTGGCATGCGTCTACACGCCAATGTTCAACACACGAACTATTTCTGTCGGTATTAAAAACAAATCCCATGTGACTAGTACTATCTTATTTTCATAAGCATCCATACAAGTTTTCCTTCTATAGCAGAACAAAACGTTTATGAGTGATTAGAAACTTCGACACCATTTCCCTAGCCTCAACATAGGTTTTCTTTGTCAAGCAAAACAAGTTTTGTGGATGGAAGTTCCAAAGATAAAAGCCGCAATGTTTTTAGACACACAAAGGAAAACTAATGTGATAGAAAGAAGATTAAATAACTTCTCAAACATTTAATAAAGGAAAATCAAAAATAACAAGTAAGTTCGGCCGGACCGAACTTTGAATACCCTCCACCATTTGGAACGCATTTAAATTTTTAAAAAAATAAAATCCGTTAAAAATTCTGTTAACATTTTGTCATATGCCATTACCATATTCAAATTCGAAACTTGAAATAAACGGTGAATAATGTAGCTAAAAGCTTTAAAATACCGTATATAGGTAGGTACCGTTATATCAGAGCTATGCGAAGATCTGGACCTGTATAGAAAATTTTCTGTCACAGGCTTCAGCATCCATTCCGAACTTCAAATACGACATCTCAAACAATTTCGGTAAGTATTGTACTGATATATGGGGCCTATACGAAGACATGGACCTGTATACACAATTTTCTGTCACAGACTGTGGTTCCCATCACGAACTCCTAATGCATAATTTGAAACTACTCCTTTAAAAATTGTCGTTAAAATCATTAAAATACAGAATATAGGGAGGTACCGTTCTATGGGGGCTATTCGAAGACGTGGACTCGCATAGACAATCTTCTGTCTTAGGCAATAGTATCTGTTTAACTACAATTTAACTTAATTTCTTTAAAATACAGCCCTTTGCTCTTTTTCTTCAATTTGTCCAATACCATTTTATTCAACTTTGAACTTTCGTTCAAAGTTAGTGATGACAAATTGTAACGAGTAAATATGATCAATTCGCGCCTCTCTATGGCATCTAGGCTTGCTCGCTACTTTTTAGTGACTTGTTATTCGGATTTTCGTCCAGCTAACAACACCGATTGTAAAAAGGTAAATAATATTAGTTTTTCGACTAATATTTATAATAAAACCGCCAATTTTTATTATACAAAAATTCTCATTATTTTGTTTTATTTTTCTTTTATTCATTTTCGCTGCTCCGCAACATTTTTGGTCTCTTCGAGCCGAGATACGTGCTAGCCTGTGCCTCTTTTGTTTTTGCAAAGGTTTGACTTCGTCAAAACAATCAACATCTACCCAGTGCCTACCATCACACACTCGCAGCCTACTTATCCATCCCTTCATTTATATTCTTTAAAACAGATACATCACTAAAAAGGTACGTACCGTCTATTTAATGAGCATAAACCGCGAGTGTTTCGTTTTGAAATAAAAATTAATTGGAAAAACAACGAACATAGTGCTTAACTACGGTCGGTTTTACAAGTGTCCGTCGGTAGAACGAAATTGTCATATATTTTCAACACTGCCGTTTTGTTAATTCGTGTAATAATTCTCTTCAAGAATATACGCGCTCTTGGTGAAGAAAACTAAATAAAAAGTGGAATACATAAGCAGTGATCAGTGATCTTTATTGTGGTTGTGTTTGGTTATTTTGTGATCTTTGCATAAAGAAGAACAAAATAAACAATAACAACATTACTGTTGGATATCACAACAACAATACAATCACATAATAGTGCTGTGTACTCTGTGGTTGGTTGAATTGTAATAGGTAATCAGTAACCAACTACAGGGTGTAATAGGTCTGTTCGTGCAAAAATTGGAAAATTAGTTTATTAGGTCTATTACCTCCGAATATTAGCACATTTTTGACACTTGAAGAAGTTAGCAATACTATCTATCCATGGTGGATGACATTCTTACACACGATGGATGATATTCATTCACGTGAATTGATATTTAGCTGCCCACTCTGATCATGAATCGTCTTTTCAGTGACGACTTCAAATAATTCCGGATCTGTTGATTGCAACGTATTTCACCTGGTGTTTTACAATGAAATCCACTAACATTTTTTCTAGCAATAAATGATATATAATTTCGGTCCACTCTGGATTAAAGGTGAAAGTTATAAATATATATGGACGACCGTAATTCCTAACATAAATCACAACATACTTACTTACTTATTTAGCTGGCTCGAGACAGAACATTTGCTCCATAAGCCGAGTTTAGAAAAGATTTCCAGGCGCGTCGGTCTTGTGCGCAGTTTTTCCAATTTGAAAGACCATGTTCCGATATAATGTCTTCTACTAGGTCTTTCCATCTAATTCTTAGCCTTCCCCTTCTGCGTGAACCATCAGTAGGCTCGCTCTTATATACCTTATGAGCTGGGGCACCCTCATCCATTCGCACTACATGACCTAGCCACCGTAGTCGCTACAGCTCGATACGTCTGACTATGTCGATGTCCGAGTATAGATGGTATAGCTCGTGGTTCATTCGACGTCGATATTCACCGTTGATACAGATCGGCCCGTAGATCTTTCGGAGAATTTTTCTCTCAAACACTCCAAGCGCTGCCTCATCTGCTTGCGCAGATGCTTCAGATCCATACAACAGCACGGGTAGTATCAGTGTCTTGTAGAGTGTGAGTTTGGTCTGGCGAGATGTGGCCTTGTTTCTGAACTGCTTACATATACCATAGTAGCATCTATTGGCCAACACTATCCTTCTCCGAATCTCAAAACTGATGTCATTTGTTTTGTTTATGGCGGTACCGAGGTAGTTAAAGTCACTGACTACCTCAAAGCTGTAGTTTTCAAGTCCCACAGTTGGTCCTAGTCTACTGGACGTCTTGCGCGTTGATACCATCAGCTTGGTCCTCTCGCCATTTACTGCCAGACCCACTTTGGCAGACTCCTTCCCAATTTGTTCAATGGTGGCTGTTACCGCTCTCAATGTTCGACCAATTATGTCGATGTCATCGGCTTATGCGAGCAACACTTTTAATACACAACATACTGTGTATTAAAAGTGAACAAACAACAATCATATTTTTTAAAAATAAAATTAGGAAGGAACTTATGTCGTTCGGATTTAAGTTTGCACATTATTCACCTCGTTACACAAATGCACTCTTCAAATATAACCTTGCTGGATTCGGATTAAGCTTAAACATTGTAATTCAACATACGTACATGACGACAACATACTGTTGAAAAAGTCTTCGAAATTTCAAAAGGTGATTTTTTTCATTCCGACGTATCATCAATGTATACGTATAATAGTTTTTGGAGTTGAAACTTTTATATGTTTCAAGTCTTTAATTTTATTTTAAGAACTTATTTAATTCCAGTTAGCTCTGTGGTGAATTTGGCCTCCAACAATTACAATTGCCACATTGTCGATAATCGGTGCATTGAATCGTCTTTTATGTTATCCAACCGTTGTGCTATCAGCTTTAATAACAACTCTGATGGCATTCTGAACAATCAAGCTAATTCATTGTGTCTTTTTGACAAACCCTTTTCGATAACTTCTCCTCATTCCATGAAAAATGTTGGGGGCAACTTTTTGTGATGTATTGAGTTTTGAATTTCAGTGTAGTTTATAATTTGTTAATTAGTTAAAATGAAACACACAAATTACCTATTTTGGGAAAACAAGAAAGGCAAAAAAAAAGTTTCTCATTGATTGTTCAAAGAGTCGGTGATCGGTGATCATACATTATCCCCCCACCATGACATAGTATTGACCTCCTTTCCTCAACTCCTTGGCAAGGTTTTCACTGGCCCATATAACATAGACAACCTCCGTTAGATGTCCTCAAGGCCAGTAAATAATCGGCCTTAGCGTCATATTTCTGAGTAGTATCGCCACCAATGTCAATTTGTGTTTAGGTGTTGCCTATTGAATCTACCGGTGCAGCCTGTTGTTAGGAATGTCATGAGAGGGGTCTTCTATTATTGGGTCATCGTGCGGATGATATGGGAGCTCAGTCGTGATGAGAGGTTTTGCCTTTAAGGCGGTCGTATCACTCGTATTAGACTTGTATAATTTTTAACTTGGTAAACCTATGTTCCTCAAGGAGGGAAGACCTTAAGCCAAGCCTTCTTAAGGATAAATATGATATCCTGGATATCACTGAAGCTTGGTTTAATAGGGATCTGAGGGTGGCATGCGTCTACACGCCAATGTTCAACACACGAACTATTTCTGTCGGTATTAAAAACAAATCCCATGTGACTAGTACTATCTTATTTTCATAAGCATCCATACAAGTTTTCCTTCTATAGCAGAACAAAACGTTTATGAGTGATTAGAAACTTCGACACCATTTCCCTAGCCTCAACATAGGTTTTCTTTGTCAAGCAAAACAAGTTTTGTGGATGGAAGTTCCAAAGATAAAAGCCGCAATGTTTTTAGACACACAAAGGAAAACTAATGTGATAGAAAGAAGATTAAATAACTTCTCAAACATTTAATAAAGGAAAATCAAAAATAACAAGTAAGTTCGGCCGGACCGAACTTTGAATACCCTCCACCATTTGGAACGCATTTAAATTTTTAAAAAAATAAAATCCGTTAAAAATTCTGTTAACATTTTGTCATATGCCATTACCATATTCAAATTCGAAACTTGAAATAAACGGTGAATAATGTAGCTAAAAGCTTTAAAATACCGTATATAGGTAGGTACCGTTATATCAGAGCTATGCGAAGATCTGGACCTGTATAGAAAATTTTCTGTCACAGGCTTCAGCATCCATTCCGAACTTCAAATACGACATCTCAAACAATTTCGGTAAGTATTGTACTGATATATGGGGCCTATACGAAGACATGGACCTGTATACACAATTTTCTGTCACAGACTGTGGTTCCCATCACGAACTCCTAATGCATAATTTGAAACTACTCCTTTAAATAATGTCGTTAAAATCATTAAAATACAGAATATAGGGAGGTACCGTTCTATGGGGGCTATTCGAAGACGTGGACTCGCATAGACAATCTTCTGTCTTAGGCAATAGTATCTGTTTAACTACAATTTAACTTAATTTCTTTAAAATACAGCCCTTTGCTCTTTTTCTTCAATTTGTCCAATACCATTTTATTCAACTTTGAACTTTCGTTCAAAGTTAGTGATGACAAATTGTAACGAGTAAATATGATCAATTCGCGCCTCTCTATGGCATCTAGGCTTGCTCGCTACTTTTTAGTGACTTGTTATTCGGATTTTCGTCCAGCTAACAACACCGATTGTAAAAAGGTAAATAATATTAGTATTTCGACTAATATTTATAATAAAACCGCCAATTTTTATTATACAAAAATTCTCATTATTTTTGTTTTATTTTTCTTTTATTCATTTTCGCTGCTCCGCAACATTTTTGGTCTCTTCGAGCCGAGATACGTGCTAGCCTGTGCCTCTTTTGTTTTTGCAAAGGTTTGACTTCGTCAAAACAATCAACATCTACCCAGTGCCTACCATCACACACTCGCAGCCTACTTATCCATCCCTTCATTTATATTCTTTAAAACAGATACATCACTAAAAAGGTACGTACCGTCTATTTAATGAGCATAAACCGCGAGTGTTTCGTTTTGAAATAAAAATTAATTGGAAAAACAACGAACATAGTGCTTAACTACGGTCGGTTTTACAAGTGTCCGTCGGTAGAACGAAATTGTCATATATTTTCAACACTGCCGTTTTGTTAATTCGTGTAATAATTCTCTTCAAGAATATACGCGCTCTTGGTGAAGAAAACTAAATAAAAAGTGCAATACATAAGCAGTGATCAGTGATCTTTATTGTGGTTGTGTTTGGTTATTTTGTGATCTTTGCATAAAGAAGAACAAAATAAACAATAACAACATTACTGTTGGATATCACAACAACAATACAATCACATAATAGTGCTGTGTACTCTGTGGTTGGTTGAATTGTAATAGGTAATCAGTAACCAACTACAGGGTGTAATAGGTCTGTTCGTGCAAAAATTGGAAAATTAGTTTATTAGGTCTATTACCTCCGAATATTAGCACATTTTTGACACTTGAAGAAGTTAGCAATACTATCTATCCATGGTGGATGACATTCTTACACACGATGGATGATATTCATTCACGTGAATTGATATTTAGCTGCCCACTCTGATCATGAATCGTCTTTTCAGTGACGATTTCAAATAATTCCGGATCTGTTGATTGCAACGTATCTCACCTGGTGTTTTACAATGAAATCCACTAACATTTTTTCTAGCAATAAATGATATATAATTTCGGCCTACTCTGGATTAAAGGTGAAAGTTATAAATATATATGGACGACCGTAATTCCTAACATAAATCACAACATACTTACTTACTTACTTAGCTGGCTCGAGACAGAACATTTGTTCCATAAGCCGAGTTTAGAAAAGATTTCCAGGCGCGTCGGTCTTGTGCGCAGTTTTTCCAATTTGAAAGACCATGTTCCGATATATTGTCTTCTACTAGGTCTTTCCATCTAATTCTTGGCCTTGCGCAGATGCTTCAGATCCATACAACAGCACGGGTTGTATCAGTGTCTTGTAGAGTGTGAGTTTGGTCTGGCGAGATGTGGCCTTGTTTCTGAACTGCTTACATATACCATAGTAGCATCTATTGGCCAACACTATTCTTCTCCGAATCTCAAAACTGATGTCATTTGTTTTGTTTATGGCGGTACCGAGGTAGTTAAAGTCACTGACTGGTCCGAGTCTACTGGACGTCTTGCGCGTTGATACCATCAGCTTGGTCTTCTCGCCATTTACTGCCAAACCCACTTTGGCAGACTCCTTCTCAATTTGTTTAAAGGTGGCTGTTACCGCTCTCAATGTTCGACCAATTATGTCGATGTCATCGGCTTAGGCGAGCAACACTTTTAATACACAACATACTGTGTATTAAAAGTGAACAAACAACAATCATATTTTTTAAAAACAAAATTAAGAAGAACTAATGTCGTTCGGATTTAAGTTTGCACATTATTCAACTTGTCACACAAATGCACTCGTCAAATATAACCTTGCTGGTTTCGGATTAAGCTTAAATATTGTAATTTAACATACATACATGACGACAACATACTGTTGAAAAAGTCTTCGAAATTTTAAAAGGTGACTTTTTTCATTCGGACGTATCATTAATGTATTCGTATAATAGTTTTTGGAGTTAAAACTTTTTTATGTTTCAAGTCTTTAATTTTATTTTAAGAACTTATTTAATTCCAGTTAGCTCTGTGGTGAATTTCGTCTCCAACAATTACAATTGCCACATTGTCGATAATCGGCGCATTGAATCGTCTTTTATGTTGTCCTACCATTGTGCTATCAGCTTTAAAAACAACTCTGATGGCATTCTATCCAATGCTGTTCTGAACAATCTAGCTAATTCATTGTGTCTTTTTGACAAACCCTTTTCGATAACTTCTCCTCATTCCATGAAAAATGTTAGCGGCAACTTTTTGTGATGTATTGAGTTTTGAATTTCAGTGTAGTTTATAATTTGTTAATTAGTTAAAATGAAACACACAAATTAACTATTTTGGGAAAACAAGAAAGTGAAAAACAAAAGTTTCCCCATTGATTGTTCAAAGAGTCGGTGATCATACATTATCCCCCCACCATGACATATTGACCACCTTTCCTCAACTCCTTGGCAAGGTTTTCACTGGCCCATATAACATAGACAACCTCCGTTAGATGTCCTCAAGACCAGTAAATAATCGGCCTTCGCGTCATATTTCTGAGTAGTATCGCCACCAATATCAATTTGTGTTTAGGTGTTGCCTATTGAATCTACCGCTGCAGCCGGTTGTTAGGAATGTCATGAGAGGGGTCTTCTATTATTGGGTCATCATGAGAGATTTGCCTTTAAGGCTGTCGTATCACTCGTATTAGACTTGTATAATTTTTAACTTGGTAAACCTATGTTCCTTAAGGAGGGAAGACCTTAAGCCAAGCCTTCTTAAGGATAAATATGATATCCTGGATATCACTGAAGCTTGGTTTAATAGGGATCTGAGGGTGGCATGCGTCTACACGCCAATGTTCAACACACGAACTATTTCTGTCGGTATGAAAACCAAATCCCATGTGATTAGTACTATTTTATTTTCATAGGCATTCATACAAGTTTTCCTTCTATAGCAGAATATGACGTTTATGAGTGATTAGAAACTTCGACACCATTTCCCTACCCTCAACATAGGTTTTCTTTGTCAAGCAAAACAAGTTTAGTGACAATAATCTAAAACAAATATATAAGTGATGGAAGTTCCAAATATAAAAGCCGCAATGTTTTAAGACACACAAAGGAAAACTAATGTGATAGAAAGAAGATTAAATAACTTCTCAAACATTTAATAAAGGAAAAATAACAAGTAAGTTCGTATATAGGGAGGTACCGTTATATCAGAGCTATGCGAAGACCTGGACCTGCATAGAAAATTTTCTGTCACAGGCTTCAGCATCCATTCCGAACTTCAAATACGACATCTCAAACAACTTCGGTAAGTATTGCACCTAAAATTGACAAAATACCGAATATAGGAAGGTACTGATATATGGGGCCTATACGAAGACATGGACCTGTATACACAATTTTCTGTCACAAACTGTGGTTCCCATCACGAACTCCTAATGCATAATTTGAAACTACTCCGTTGAATAATGTCGCTAAAATCATTAAAATACAGAATATAGGGATGTACCGTTCTATGGGGGCTATTCGAAGACGTGGACTTGCATAGACAATCTTCTGCCTTAGGCAATAGTATCTGTATAAGTTCGATACGTTCCACCACAACTTTCCAATGCTCGATCAATCACGGATGCTGATTGGGGCACAGGCATCTCCTCTTCAACTCCCCTAGCGGAGACCGTAGTGAGCGGATCGTCGCTGGACATTGGTTGTTGTCGGTAGGCTCACCTTGCTCTCATTGGAAGTAGTTGTAGTTGTAATTGTAGACAGACGTGGGACCCTCAGCGGTCACTCAGAACCATTGCGTTCACTTGTCTTGCAGAAATGAAAGAACAAACACACGGCCTCTGTCGCCACCCCAAGTACTTAAGGTAATTTGTCTTTGAAAAGAAAGAACACCAATAAAGGCATGAATTTAATTTAGAATATACTAATTATTTCTTGTGTTTTATTTCTTCTATATTTTCTTTCTTTTACACACCACACGCGCGAATCACCCGCACCACATCTCTCACCATCACGTCGCATTCTAATCTCACATAATAACTCTGGGGAGTTTTGTTGTTGCTACCGCTGTCGAAGCCTTCCCCCCCACTCCCCCAAGTTAAACATTGGTCCTTCGAGCCGGATAGAAGCCTGTTGTCTTGCGTTTGTCGTTGCTCCCTTTTATTTGCATGGAGATTACTTGGATCATCTCTCATCATCATAATCATCAACATACATAAGACTAAAAACCAGGTACGTAAATTCAGATCTCTATTTGAAGTGAGCTACCCGCGTTTGTTAGTGCGTATGTTAATTGTTTTTATTCGAAACTACATAATATTGGTCGTTTTTCAATCACCCTTCGCGTGTGTCATTGTAATTCAAATACAGTCCACTATTGTTGCATTAAATTGCATTCGTTGTACTGATCATCCTTCGTCGCGGTGATCATACATTTGCCTTTCGTTAAAGAACAAGTCAGTTGGTCGACTTATATTAACACTTCTTGTGTTAATTAAGTGCATTCCCCTACAACAAGTAGTTCTGTCGTTGTAAAAATAATTAGCTTTCTTTGTACTGATCATCCGTCGTCGCGTTGATCATACAAAAAGATTTGGTACTCTTGTTTCGCTTCGTTCATTTGTTTCGTTTTCTAACTCTCATTTCAAATGAACACTTTGTGAGAAAAGAAAGTCTCATTTGACAAAAAATTGTTCCCCTCGTTGTTGCTCTACTCCCTCGCCTTAGTTGAAGAAAAATTTGCACCACCACATTGGTAAATCACCACAGCATACATTCACATTCTTTTATATTTGGTCGTTTGGTTTATTTGTTGTTCAATTTCTCACCAACCAAACGTTCGCAGTTGCTATCCCCCTTTACGTTTCAAAGGTTGAGCCCTTTAACGAGAATTGTTTGTTTCTAATTAGCAATAACAACACACTTGTAATAACAGTGCATCCATCTGTCGGTTGGTTACTTTGTCGTCGTCGCATTTATTGTTGTTGCAATTCTTCATCGTTTGTTTCTAACCATCGATCAATTCTCACTTGAGAATTTGCATTGCCCAAAATTGCAACAAAAATACTTCATCATTCCACGCGCCATTTTTAGCGTCGGTTTGATGTACAGTAAAAATAACAACAAATTGTTTTGATCTCCAACTCTCACTGTTGGATCGTTTGTGGCGTCGCTTGTTGTGTGGGTACGTAACTGCTTACGCATAGTAATTTCTCTGCCAACGTCGCCTGTGTTTTATTCCTCTTTGTGCGATATCCGTTGTTGGTTCGGCACAGTGGGGTAAAACATCATAATTTGTGAATTTTTTTAATTTATTTCAGAAATTATTTTTCGATAATTTTCTGAAATATTTTTGACTAGTAGTAGGGTTTTTGGAATTTTTTGATAAATTCACCCTACATTCGGCATTCTTTGCAGATATATTTAGCGAAACATATTGGTGAAAATTAATCGTTAATTTTGGTTAATTTTACAACATTTTTAGATTTTGTTTAACTTCTGCTTGCAATTGCAACTCTATGTAGGGTTTTTGGAATTTTTTGACAAATTCACCCTACATTCGGCATTCTGTGCATATATTTAAGCAGCACATATTAGTTGAATCTGTTTGTTTTTGTGGCTATTTCGTAATTGTTTGGGTAAATAAATCACAGTTGTTTACAGGGTTTGGGTATTTTTACAGGGTTTGGGTATTTTAGAATACACCCTACTTTCGGCATTTTCATTCATTTTCTTAATTTATTGATATGGGAGCAATTTTAGTAATATTTGTCACATAGGAAAAGATTTTCTTAATTTCTCTTCTATTGAGCCCTGCTATATCCTCAATATTTATAACTTTTTGAAGTATCTGAAGGTTTTCAGTTTTGGAAATTTGCCATTTCCATTCAATAATAGCAAACTTTGTCTGATTTATCTTACTTTTGCATACTGTTTGTATTGTTTTTGTTATAAATTTAGCAACACAATGTCGATCACTCCGCTCACACGTTTTACTAGAGCCGCTGACATTGTTCTGAAGAGTGTAGACTATTTTGAACAAATTGATGCCACACATTTCACAGTTTGTAGCCTCGAAATTCGTCTATCAGAAATTCGAGAATTGTGGGATAAGGTCTTGCACACTTACACTGAGTGCAAAAACTACCTCACGGCATCCGAGACTGCACAGTTTGAAAATATTGATGTCGTTGAGATTAAATTCAATAGTACTTTTATTGCATATCATTGGTGTTTGACTACTATCAACAAGCACCTCGATCGCCTCAAATTTCCAAATAGTGATAATAGCCCTCCTGCTGTAACTTCTCAGTCTTCTCCTTGTGATAATTGTATTTCTGCAACTAATGCTAATGTTACACAACCTTTAGGCTTGCTTTTGAGCGAACCTAACGTATCGGTTCCTGTGCAGTCTGTTTCTCCACCCGTTGATACTTTCTCCAAGTCTTCTGTCAGTAATATGTGCTCCAATCCACCTTTCGATAGTCATTGTTACATGTTGCCAACTCTAGATATCGAAGTATTTGATGGTGATTTTGACTCTTGGCCCACATTTCGTGATTTGTTCACAACTCTGTATGTGAAAAATGCACGCCTTTCAGAAATTGAACGTGTATGTCATCTTCGACAGAAGACTACCGGTGAGGCTCGAGAAATCATTAGCAGATTTCCACTAACTAATAGTAGTTTCCATTTAGCTTGGAAAGCTTTGTCGGATGCATATGATAATAAGCGCATCTTGGTAAATAGTCACATTAAACATTTATTCGAGCTTCCTACGTTTGAAAAAGAGAACTGCTATTCTTTGAAAATTATTCAAAATGGAATAAATAGTTGTCTTGCTGCAATGGCCGTCTATGACGTCCCCACGGATCAGTGGGATCCAATTATTGTATATATTTGTTTGCAGCGCTTGCCCTTAAACACCTTGACTTTGTGGGAGCAAAGTATCAAAAATAAGTCGTTGTTGCCTTCCTGGCCAGACCTAGATACTTTTCTCACAGAAAGAATACAAACTTTACAATGTATTCAAAATTTGTGTAAAAATCCACCCACCAACGTTGCTTCTCCCAACTCCTCGTTGTCATCAAAGAATGTTACTTCTAGATCTACAAA